ATGAATCACCGATTCCCAGGGATGGGAAGAAGCTCACCTGCCGCTGTCAAACGGGGCGTGAGACCCAGCTCTGTGTCACCGGGCTGGGTCACATCCGTCCCGGTACGTGCAGAGAGTCAGCTGCCCTCAACCCCTCCACAGCCAGGGAGCAAACCAAGGGCTGCACCTGGTTTCACCCCTTTGAAGTGGAGTGGCCGTGGCTTTAACGTCAACGCCTTGCAGGGGGGTGATCCCCCATCAGCCAAGGAAGCTCCTCCAGGTCTTCTCCTGCCTTGCTCTTCAAAGCAAACACGAACTCCCCTTGGCACAAAGGGGCTCTGCTGCTTCCCCAAGGAGATGCCGGGAAGGTGGAGGCCCGTGCCGGAGGCTGGTTGATGGGATGTGGCACCTCAGGGCTGTTTCGTCACCGTCCCTTGGGGGGTGGTGGGTCCCCTGCCCACGATGCCCTTTGCCAGAGCACAGCACAAAGCCATCGCTGTGAGCTGAAAAGCTGGAGCTGTGTGCTGGGGGCTTCTCCCCTCCCAGTCAGAGAATAATTAACATAAGAGGGAATTATAGGCATAAACCCCATAAAATAAAATTTTTAAAAAAAAGTTCTCTTTTTGCTATGGCTGCTTTTATGGCCCAGCAAATAATTTGTAACAAATAGTTTATTCAATTAATTGAGCTTCTCTGCTCTGGGGGCAGATGGCAACCTTCAGAAATGAATTCCCGTGGAAAACTAGACAATGGTATTCCTGGGCCAATTTCCTTTGCTTTCAGGTCGCTGCCAGTGGCTATGATTTATGCCCATGCTGCGGGATGCAAGCCCATGGGATAAGAGTGGTTTTCCCCATCCAGGTTTCTGGGATTTATTCAGCTTTTCCTTTGCACCATGGGCTGGCTCACAGCCTCTCCCCCTTCTGTTTTCCCTGCTGGTGCCAGGACTGAGCGTGTTTTCCCTGCTTATCCGCTGGGGCACGGGATCGTAGGGATGCTTCATTTTGGCTGCATCCTTCCAGGTCCCAGGGGTGCCGTGGGGCGATGAGAAATGGTTTGTAGCCTGCAAGGGAAAGGGGTTTCCAGGGATTTCCAAGGGTTTCCCAAGATTTCTCCTAAACGCTTTTTGTCGATGGAGATGCTGCCACTGCCACTTTTTCCATCACCCCGTGAAGAGGTGCAGCTTTCATCCACAAGTGAAGCAAGCTTGGGAGACAACACAGCTGTATCCCAGCTCCACACACCTTTTTTAGGGGAAAGAAAAAAATTTAAAAAAATAGCACTTTGTTGCAGAGTGACACTGGTGGAGCAGGAAGCAACTTGGAACAGGACAGCTGTCCCGTGCCACCACGAAGCAATGCTCCAGGGACATTGCAACAGCACAGCTGAGTGGCTGGAGACACCCTGGGAGATGCTCTCTAGGACAAGATGCTCTTGTTCTGCAAAGCAAGAGGTTCCATCACATTTTTGCCCTCAGATTAATGAAGCACATTGCCATAAAGGTCCCTTCTGGTCTCAGCCTTGGGAGAAACTGCTCTTGCCAGCCCAGACTCTCTCCCAGCCAAAAAACCCTGTTTTAGCTCAAAATTTGAAAGCGGGGACTGGCACTGGGTGCCCGTCTGCGAGGAGACCCATCCCTGGATGAACTCAGGACTTTGGGGCACCCCTCGTGCACCTCCAGCTGCCCAAAGAGCTTCTCCCGTGTGACCACCCAGGGCTTTGGTGGTGTTCCTTGCCTCATTTTGGAGTGACGTGGAGGCTGTGATGGACCCGGGGACACCTCGGAGACTGTCTGGGAAGTCCCCCCCTTTGCATGCCCAGCTGCCACGCATGGAGAAGGGCTCCACAGGGACGGAGGAGCTGCCTCGGCTTGACGCCTCCTCCAGGGAAGATGTCCCCTTCGCTCCGGGGACCGACCATGCGACTGGTTTCCTGCTACAGGACTGGCCCCATGGCGATGCTCAGCCCCCCAGACCCCCCCTGTGCCTTTCCCTGATGTGAAGGGGGATGCTCTCCCTGGGCTGTTTTTGGGGGGCGGTGAGAAAAGCAAAGTTTCCCCAAGCTCTGGAGAAGCCTCTTGGAGGACACCAGGCTGGGACAAGGGCTGCTCCTGCCCATCTCAACACTTGGGGTGGGAACCCCAGGGCACCCATTAGCTTCAAAAAGGGGCCAAAAAAGCCAAAAACACAAAAAAAAGGGACAACTATGACATACAGCACAGCGTGCACACACAGATCACACACATTTTTGAGCCACTGTAAAGGATAAACAGGGCGAAGGCGCTGCCATATTCAAACAAAATTCTTTTATTGAAAGTGTAATGGAAATTTCTTCATATTGCTTTGATGAAATGAGCGACAGCAGCTGTAGACAAATATGCTTTTTTATAAACAAATGCAAATGGATAAGGTAAAAATAAAGCATTTTTTTTTTAAGTTGTACCTTTAAGCAACATAATCACAATATATACACAAAGAAAGCTAAAATAAAGCTATGTTGAAACCAAAGCGTTTCAATCAATACATTAGATAATTACAGATTGTGTCAATAAATACCCAGTTCTTAAACTGTTTAACAGGCAACTTTTTACACAGATACCAAGAAGAAAAAAAAAATATATATTTACAATTCAGTGCCCTGGGGAACAAAAAAAAAAGAGAAAAAATCTTTTTTTCTTTTTTTGGCACCAACACAAATAAAAAGAATAAATTATAGAAAAAATCCACAAAGGCAGGAGTCTGTCCGCGTCATTCCTTTTTAAAAAAAAGTGTGTGT